ACGCCTGCTCCCGCCGGTGCAACGGGCCAGCATCCACCACCCCTTGGTCCCCCAAAGCCCACCCCACCCCACGTCTTCTGCCGCTCCCTGGCGATGGTTAAGTCATCCTCTGCGGCTGCAGAAGGGCGTCCGTCTCGCATCCCACCCGATGTCCAGCCTGCCTGGGGGATGGCGTAGAGGAGAGCGAGCCTTTGGCAGAGGTGCTCAGGGAGGTGAAAGGAGAGGTTGGGGCATCACCTCAGGGAGGTGGAGGTGGGAGGAGCAGCCACCAGCTGGTACCTCAATCCTGCCCGGCTCTGCCTTCCTTTGCCCCTGTGCCATCGCTGGGAACGTGAGCTAGGGTTTTGCCATGAAACCTCTGCTGAGCGGAATTGGGTTTTTTCTCCTTTTTCTTGAATCAAGGCGAGTTTCCCCTTTAAAAAGAGAAGAGAAAAAGCAGAACATCCCTGGTGCAATGCTGAGGGCTGACCCCGCAAACTCCCTTCCCAGAGGCATCAGAGCGCAGGGGACGGTGTCTGGAGCCGCCGTGCCCTGGGGCAGGTTCTTCTTGGCCATGCTGGTGGCCAGGAGACCCGGGTGGCCGTCACCGGGTGCCTCTTCTCAGGATGGCTTGTGGTGGTCAGAGCATCTCCCTGTGCCCCTGGTACCAGCCTCAGCCCCTGTCCCATGCCCAGCCGGGTCCAGCTGCCCCACGTGCCGTTCGGCATCCATGCGTAGCCCATCCCCCTGGGCCGGGCGTCCTGGAAACCCCCAGTGCCCTTGGGACCGCCGATAACCCCTCTGCCCCCACAGGAACTCCCTTAATAATTACCTAATGTCCTCTGGAAGGGGAGGCAGAGCTCAGGGCTGCGTGCCGGGGGCGGGGGTGCTGGCTGTGCACCCTCGGGAGCCATCGGAGCAGCTAGTGGTCCCGCTCTTCTCGCTGGCCGGGGAGGTCCTCTCTGCTCCCTGCCTGGGCTCTCCCACGCCAGGCTCCACTGGATGGTATGATCCCCGATCAGGTGCTCTGAAGGCAGGATTAGACCCTCCCTGTATCCCTGGGGAGATGCCACAGAGGTGAGGGAGCTGTGAAGCAGGTTGAGGGAGGCAACCACTACATCCCCTTCACCTCTTGCATGGGACGAGGCGGGAGCTGGTGCCGTGGTGGGTAGGATGGGGCTCGCGCATCTCCAGGCCAAGTTGCCCTCACACCCTGCACTGCAGCTCCCCGAAACACCTCCGCCCATGGACCCTGGGGTGCAGGGACACCTGAGGCTGGTGAGGACCAGGGGAAATGGGGGACATTCTTCTCAGGTCAAAGATGCTCCTCGCCTGCATCCTTCAAAAAAAGGTCAAGGATCCCCCTCGCCTGCATCCTTCGTCCCCCGTGCCAGGCAGCATGGCTCCCACCCCACCATGCTTGTGGGGTCCCGCAGCCACAGCACAGCCCGGGTCCAGGTCCCAGACCAGCGCAGGGCAGGCATCTACAGGGACTTTAGGCCACAAAGCAGTTCGTGGTGTCCTTGGGGGAAGCCTTCCATGGGACACGTAGCAGACAGTGCCTGCAGCAGCACTGAATGTCCACGCTGTCCCCAGCCGTGCATCACGGGCCAGTCCAGGACCCGCTGGGGCCGTGGGATTCGTCACCCAGTGCTCCCATCCCACCAGGCTCACAGCCACTGTCTTCTGCAGTCCCTTCACCTCTTGTCATCGCCCTCGGGGTCAGCGCTTGGCACCAGGAGCCGGCACTCGGCTCCTGCACACCGGCTGGGGGGGCTCTCCACGGCGTGTACCCACAGGCACAGGCACACATACCGGGCTGGCACCGGGATGGGTGTCCCATCCCTGCCAGGAATCCCAGAGGCAGACCAGGTGCCCCAGGGATGGTCCCCCTCCATTGAGGGAGCCCCGGTCGCACATGTCAGACTGCGAACTTGCTTAAAACCGCACTGTGTTTACCGTACGCGCTATTTGCACTGAATTCCCACAGGATATGGTTCCGCTCGGCACCGAACCATTTCAGAGACCTTGCTCAGCCTGTCAGGAGGGTTTAAAGTTCAGGAAAACAGTGCGTGGGCCTCGGGTGCCAGCACCGGGATGACTTTCACCTCCCTGAGCACGCTGTCCATCCCCGAGCTGCCAGGGGATGCGGTAGGGCTGGGCAGCCCCGAGCAGCACCGACTCCTTCCCCCAGGCTGCAGCGAGGAGAGGAGGGTGAAAATCCCGCCAGGCAGGGGGGAATAATCCAGGATGCTTCGTGCTGGCGGGGATGGGCAGGTTTGGGCCGAGGGTGGCAGCTCTGGGGGTCACCCCATGAGAAAGGCAGCTCAGGGGGTCCCTGAGGATGCGTTTTTAGTGCCGCTTCCATGCTCACCCCGCATCTCGGCTCCGAGCGCCCTCGCTCCTGCGCAGAGCAGGCTGTTCTCCAGGGATGCTGCTCCAGCGGGTCCCCAGGTATCCCTGGCCGGGCAGCCCCCAGGGAAGCCCTGCCTGGGGGGCCAGGGGAAGCGCCGGGCTGGGCAGCCCCACGGGGCCAGTGGGACGGGGTCTGTAGCTGGCTCTGCTCTCCCTCTGCGGTGCCACCAGTGCCCGGGTGTCTCGGGAACCAGCTAGAAGCAAAGTTGGACAAGCCGGACGTGGTGAACTGGATGTGCTACCGCAAAACGGAGGACTATTTCACCATCTGGCTCAACCTCAACACTTTCCTGCCGGTGGGAGTTGACTGCTGGATCGATAACACCAGGTACCGCACACCCCCATGCCGGGAGCTCCCCGGGGAAATGACCTACCAGGGATCTCCCTCACCTCTCCTCCCCCTCGGCCATGACCTAGCACACACGGAAAACCACGGGAGCACCATGGGACTGTTTGGGAACACAGCTGGCTGGCTCCCGCTCCGGGCGCCCGTCCCTTTGCCATGTCCTGGCACGTGCTCGTGCCAGCCAGACCGTCCTCAGCACCCGCTGGAGATGCTGCCACCCTTGCGGGCGAGGGGACTGCCGCAGCCCGCTCCATTGGAGCCTCCTGCCCCGAGATGCTGGGCGATTGGCATGGGTGCTGGCTTGGCACCAGTCCACCTCCCCATCCACACAAGACTTGGAAAGAGCCACCCAGGTCCAAGCTGCCACCCAGTGATCGCCACCCCATCCCTTGGGGATATAGTTCTTCTTGCTACTTTCTGTCCTGTCCCTGCAGGGTGGTGTACAACCGAACCTCTCGGAAAATGACCAATGCCCCAGGGGTGCACATCCGCGTGCCTGGCTTCGGCAAGACCTATTCTGTGGAATACCTGGATCAGAGCAAGCTGGCAGGTGAGAGGAGGAGAGGCGCAGGGTGTCCGAGGCTCCCACGCGCTCCCTGCAAGTGGAGAGGGGTCTCCGGGTCTCCAGGGGGGACTGGTTCTGCAGAGAGCCCAGGTCACCTGGGACTGAGGGACGTTGGCCTCGGGGACACGCTCCCTTCGAGTGCCAGCGGGGACCACCCTACCCTTGAGCCCAGCGCACGTGGGACGCATGGAGCCACTACCTCTGGCTGGAGCCAACCAGATACAGGGAGTGCCAGCGGGGACGACCCCACCCTTGAGCCCAGCGCACGTGGGACGCATGGAGCCACTACCTCTGGCTGGAGCCACCAAGATACAGGGCTTACCAGAGGACATTTTGGCCATGACCAGGACCAGGGTGGAAAAAGGTTGACAGGAGAAGACCACAGACCTAATTCCCACCTGTTCTCTCTGTCCATAGGTTACCTGCACACCCTGGTGCAGAACCTGGTGAACAACGGCTACGTGAGGGACCAGACGGTTCGGGCAGCCCCCTACGACTGGAGGGTCGGGCCCCGTAAGTTTGGGGTTTGTGGCCATGCAGGGAGGGAAGCAGGATGGCTCTCATGGGCTGGGTGAGCCAGCTGGTGCAGAGGAACCCCTGGACAGGGACGGCTGCCCATGGTGGTGGTCGCTCAGCCATTCGTGGTGCCCTCATGTGAATGCATGGTGGCACTTGTGACCTCTGCGGCCACACTTCTCTCTGGTCGGGGCTCCTAGGGTCAGCCCTGGAGCCCTGCGGCCGTGAGTGAGGTGGCCAAGAGCTGGTGCCCCTCTTGTCCACAGAGGAGCAGCCCGAATATTTCCAGAACCTGAAGGCACTCATCGAGGAGATGCACGATGAGTACCAGCGACGCGTCTTCCTCATCGCACACAGCATGGGCAACCTGAACATCCTCTACTTCTTGCTACAGCAGACGCAAGCCTGGAAAGATCAGTACATCGGGGGTTTCATCTCCCTGGGTGCCCCCTGGGGAGGGTCCGTCAAGCCCCTGCGTGTCCTGGCGTCCGGTGGGTGACTCCTTGTGTGCAGCCCCCTCTTTGCTTTCTTTCCCTCCTGCAGAAATGGAAGGGTGGTGGCAGGCAGGGAAAGGACACAGCGGTGGAAGAGGTGGGGGACAGACGGCCGAGGGGTCTGTGGAGGCAGCACTCGTGCTCTGGTGCTGATGCTGCTGCATCCCGCTGCATCCCGCGGTGCAGAAAGCACCACGGAGGTTCCTGCCACGGCCCCGACGGCAGGAGAGAGGCCCAGGGCATGCCCTGGAGCTCGCTCTGGTTTCCATGGTTGGGGCTGGTGAGCTTGTGTGTATGGAAAATGGCTGTCAGAAGGGTCCACCTGCAGCCTGGCCATCCCCCTTCCACAGCACCAGCTCTCGCCGGACAGCCTGCAGCACACTCTGCACCGTGCCCAGGGTCGACTCCTGGGCTAGGGGTGCTCCTTGAAAGCCAAAACACGCATCCTGGGCAAGAAAAGGGCTCAGCCAAAAATCTTGGGGCCAGGGAAGCAGTTTGGGGCACGCTCACCCCCTTCTCGCTGCCTCCTCAGACACCTGCGCTGCCTCCAACCGTGCAGGTTGCTGGACCTTCACTCCAAACCGTACAGCCCTTCTGCAGCAGAGGACGTGGAGGTCACCCAAGGGACACTCATGCTTTCCTGCACCACTTCCTTGGATCTCCCCACATCTCAGAGCCCATCCCCCATAAGCTTTGCTGTCTTCAGGCTTTAATCTCCCTTCACCCAGTTCCTCTTTAGTCTCTTTTCAGCCCAGAAAACCACAATCACTTGCCTAATGCTGACAGCCCAGAATATCCACAAGTCACAAGCTGAGCCTCCAAAAATGCATGGAATTAAAATCATGTGCTTGAAGATTTTAACATCTGCCCCCTTGCATCACCCTTAAGTCATCCCCTCATATTTTTCTCTGTTGCCACAAGGGCCCGAGACATTTTTATGGTAATCTGAGATCGTTGCGTGGTCTTAGGGCTCCAGACACACCAAAAATGCCGAGGCTTGCTGGGTGCATGCAGGTTGTCCATCCGTTATCATCGGGCTCAGCTCACTCCTGTCCCTGCAGGCAGGCGTGGAGGTGCCTGGGTTGCAAGGAAAGTCGGGGACTGGGTTGGTCAAGGGCCATCACACGTCCAGGTTTATCTACACTCAGCCCCTTCTAGCAGCTAGAGATGTTATGCCAGAGAGAGGCGTTTGGAAGGTTGCTCCGGCTATCTGCAGCCAGAGGGGTGAGGAGAGGACGTACGGTCGTGGGCAGGGCAGGGCTAAGCAGGGGAAGACGTGAGGTGGAACCATACCCCAGCCAGGAGACAGCTGTGAGTCACTGCTGGACGGGCTGATCCCAGCACAGCCGCCCCAGGGGCACCATTTGCGAGGGTACGTTTTGGTGCTCTTTCTGAGGAGCCCCTGTTTGTCCCGCAGGTGACAATCAGGGCATCCCACTCATGTCCAACATCAAGCTGCGTGAAGAGCAGCGCATGACCACCACCAGCCCCTGGATGTTCCCAACGAGCCTGGCCTGGCCCGAGACCCACGTTTTCATCTCCACACCCACCTACAATTACACCTACCGGGACTACCAACGCTTCTTCACCGACGTCAACTTGGAGGATGGCTGGTACATGTGGGAGGACATGAAGGACTTGCTGAAGGGCTTACCCCCTCCTGGGGTGGACACGTATTGCCTCTATGGCACAGGCTACCCCACTGTGGAGACTTACATATATGACGAGCGTTTCCCTTACGAGGACCCCGTGGACATGATTTATGGCGACGGGGACGACACCGTCAACACACGCAGTTTGGAGTTGTGCAAGCGATGGCGCGACCAGCAAAAGCAGAAGGTGTACGTCCAGGAGCTGCGAGGCGTCGACCACCTTAACATGGTCTTCAGCAACCTGACGCTCAGTTCCATCAACGAAATCCTGCTGGGGAGCCCACAGGAGCAGGGGGAGCCGGGGCAGGTGAGATCCAGCCCAGAGGCAGGGAAGGGGGGGAAGATCCTGCCTGGACAGAAGGTCCTTAAGGAGCCCAAAAAGAACTGAAAGGAATGGGGGCCAGCTTCCCTCCATGCTGGTAGCCACCACAAGCTGCCACGCAGGACTTGGAGCTGAGTATGGAAGGAAAAGGAGCAAGACCGACAACTCAGGTGGATGGGCTGGCACCCACTTCCACAATGATTGGTTTTTCTTTCGGGAACGGCGATTAATTATACTTCAGAGGCTTGTCACTTCCCACTAGCGGGTGGATAATTAACCGCGCTGCCAGCTCATTAACATCACACTTGCGAATTACGGCGTACGCACAAGCCCTCGTCGCTAGCAAGCCATGTTTAGGCACTTTAGAGGCTGTGGAGCCCGCGGTGCCGTAGCCTCTGCTCATTTGGGACAGAGCAACTCGTGTAATGAGTGTGGGCTCTGGCTTACCAGGGCGGTCACGGGAGTGGCACGGGGGTGGCACGGCAGGTACGCCTCGCAAGAGCACCTCTGCCAGCCGCCAGCTTGCAGGCAGCGAGCTAGGCTCCCCGGGCGAGACCAACTCGAAATCAGCAGATTTACAAAATAATAAACACACTTTGCTTCTGAGCGCTGAGCCTGCCTCGTCCTTGCGCAGTGGGTTAGTAAAGCCGTAACCGAAAACAGAGGCGCTCGCTGCCCGGCGGCACCCCAGGAGCCGGGGCTTTGGGAAAAGCCACATGCTGGACGATGCAGCCGGGGCTGGCAACGCAGTCGGGGCTGGCGATGCAACCGGGGCTGGCAGTGTGACTGGGGCTGGCGACGCGATGGGGGTGACAATGCAACCGGGGCTGGCGGTACAACCGGGGCTGGTGACACAGCCGGGGTTGGTGATGCGACCGGGGCCGGCAATGCAGCCAGCCCGGCCATGCAACCGCCTCGGCGATGCAGCTGGGACTGGTGACACAACGAGGGTCGGTGACACAGCCGGGGCTGGCGATGCAACTGGGGTGGCGATGCAACTGGGACTGGCGATGCAACTGGGACTGGCGATACAGCTGGGGTTGGTGACACAGCTGGGGCTGGTGATGCAACTGG